GGTTGCAAACTGAGAATTTTAATGAGAGAATTAAGGGGTGGTGGGATTTTGAAATTTTTATGGGAAGACCAGACTACATTCTAGCTTGCAAGTTGAAAGAATGGAGCAGAATTGTTCAAGGCAATCTAGGTCTACAGAAACAGAACATTTTAAACCAGCTTTATGATTTAGATGTGATCCAGGCTCATAGGTGCTTGTCTGATGATGAGTCATTTCTGAGAGCTGTTCTGACAGTAGAGTTTGAGAAGGTGGCAAAAAAGGAGGAAGTGGCATGGAGGCAAAGATCCAGGGCTATATGGCTGAAAGAGGGGGAAAAAATACAAAATTCTTCCATAGAACAGCTAACTGCCACAAGAGATGCAACAACATTGATAGTCTTCTGATCAATGGAGCTAATGTATCAGAACCAACAATGATTAGGGAGGAGATCATAGATTTCTACCAAAACCTTTACAAAGAGAATGAACACTGGAGACCTCAGTTCAGCCCCAAAGATCAAGCTACTTTGAATGAAGAAGATAATGTAATGTTGCAAAGTCAGTTTGGAGAACAAGAGATCAAAGAATGTGTGTTTGCTTGTGCAGGAGATAAGGCTCCTGGCCCAGATGGATTCACTATGGCATTTTTCATGCAGTGTTGGGAGGTGGTGAAGACGGATGTGACAGCAACCATTTAGAACTTCCATAGTCAAGGCTACTTTGGAAAAAGCTTTAATGCTACTTTCATAGCTTTGATCCCCAAAAAAATGGGTGCAACAAAATTGAAGGATTTCAGGCTCATTAGCCTGATTAGCAGTGTCTATAAGATCATCTCCAAGCTACTAACAGAAAGACTTAAGAAAGTGATGTCCAAGCTGGTGGATAAAACATCAAATGACTTTCATTAAGGGTAGGCAGATCATGAATGCCATACTTATTGCTAATGAATGTGTGGATGTGAGGGATTTAAATAAAGTCCCTGGGGTCCTATGTAAGCTGGACATAGAGAAGGCATATGATCACCTCAATTGGAACTTTCTGTGGAATACACTTGTGAGGATGGGTTTCGAAAATAGATGGATAAACTGGTTAAAACACTGTGAGTACAGTAAAATTCTCAGTATTAATTAATGGTACTCCCTCTGGCTTTTTCCATTCTGAAAGAGGACTACGGCAGGGGGACCTCATTTCCCCTTTCTTGTTTATACTCGCTATGGGTGGATTGAGTGATATGTTGAAAACAACACAGTCAAATAACAGGATCAAGGGGTTTGGGATGAATGACAGTGACATTCTGGGCTTAAATATCTCCCATCTGCAATATGCTGATGACACCTTAGTGTTCTGTGGGGTAGAGAAAGAGTAGCTGAAGTATCTAAGGGTCATCTTTGTTTTGTTTGAAGCTGTTTGGATTGCACATAAACTGGGGCAGAAGTTTTATCTACCCAGTGAATGAAGTTCCAGACATTAACAGTCGGGCTGATATTCTAGGAGGTAAAGTAGGAGAACTGCCTACTACCTACCTAGGGATGCCTCTTAGGGCAATGAGTAAGTCAAGGAACATATGGAATGCAATGGTGGAAAAGTGTGAAAAAAAGTTGGTAAATTGGAGAAGTCAATACCTTCTTTGGGTGGAAGATTGATACTAATTAATAGTGTGCTTGATGCTATGCCAACTTATATGATGTCTTTATTTCCTCTGCCAGGGAATGTCTTAGAGAAGCTAGACTCCATCCGAATGAATTTTTTATGGCAAGGAAATGGAGAGGGGGAAAAGAAGCATCATTTGGTGAAATGGGAAGTTGTGACCAACAGTAAAAAGGAAGGGGGCATGGGCATAAAGAACCTCAAAGTACAGAATTAAAGTCTCTTATTGAAGTGGCTATGGAGGTTTGTCTGAGGGGAACAAGGTTTGTGGGAAGATGCTTGTTAGAATAGGAATAAGTTTATACAATCCTATTAGAATAAGAATAGGTTTATACAATCTTATTAGAATAGGAAAAGGAATAGAAATAGAAATAGGAATACTAAATAGTATCCTACTTGGTAAAGGATTGTATTATAGTATCTATAAATAGGGTCTCAATGTAATAATGTAGACGACAATAATTCAATAATATTATTTTCCTATATTTCTCACATGGTATCAGAGCCTCTACGATCTTGGTAGAAAATCAAAGAGCTTCCGCTGCCGGCGGGTGGCACCCATATATGCTGCCCGTCTGACCAATGATTATGTTAGCAAAAGTTGGGTCACCATGTATCTTTCACGTGACTACTTTCTTATAACTAATTTGTGTAGCATCGTGCAATCATTCTGGTGATTACTTTTTCATATTTAATTTGTGTAGTAGCTAGCCATCCTTCCGGTGACTACCTTTTTTGCATATCTTATTTGCGTAGCACCGTGCATCTCTCCGGACTACTTTTCATATTTAATTTGTGTAGTATCGTGGATTTTTCCGAACTACTTTCTCATAACTGAGTTGCATAGCACTGTGCGTCTTTTCGGTGGCTCCTCAGATTTGATTTGTGTAGTTCCATTCGTCTTTCCGGTGACCCCTCAGATCTGATTTGTGTAGGGTTGTGCCATCATTCCAATCCTACCCATATTATTTCTCTTTTTCAATACGATCGTGTCGTCAATCCGACCTTTCCTATGTAAATTTTATTTTCCAGTTGGGTCTTGCCATCATTCTGACCCTACCCATATAATTTTATTTCTTAGATTGTGACCACTTTTAACCAATAATCTAATACTTCGGCATATGAGCATGTTCCAACCAACTTTTCGGTGACTTTCTTGTCTAATATGAACTCGTCTATTGATTCCAACATAATCCATATACTTTATACTAGATTTTGAGCACTTGCAACAACCGTTGCATTGTGAAGAAGTCTATATGGAGCAACCACCTAATTTTGTTGCTCAGGGGAGTTTGGTAGCCTTGTATGTTGATTACATAAGTCACTCTATGGTCTGAAACAGTCTTTGCAAGCTTGGTTTGGGAAGTTCCAACACTATAATTTTATCACTTTGTTTTATTGGCATTATGCATCAAATTCAGTAATTCATGATAAGACCAAGCACATTGAGATTGATTGTCAATTTTGTGAGGTCGAGTGATCAACTTGCAGATATCTCACCAAGCCCCTCATCAGTCCTCGTGTTAATTACATTTGTAACAAGCTAGGTACACGAATTGTATGCACTAGCTTGAGGGGGAGTGTTAGAATAGGAATAAGTTTATACAATCCTATTAGAATAAGAATAGGTTTATACAATCCTATTAGAATAGGAGTAGGTTTATACAATCCTATTAGAATAGGAATAGAAATAGAAATAGGAATACTAAATAGTATCCTACTTGGTAAAGGATTGTATTATAGTATCTATAAATAGGGTCTCAATGTAATAATGTAGACAACAAAAAATCAATAATATTATTTTCCTATATTTCTCACAATGCTATAGTTTCCAGATACACAATGGAAGGCTTATGGATCACTAAACAAGTTAGAAGCCCTTATGGGGTAGGTCTATGGAGAACAAACAGGAATCAGTGGCCTAAAATGTGGGGAAACTCAAGAATTGTAATAGGAAATGGAAGGAGGACATCATTCTGGAATGATGTGTGGGTTGGTCAATATCCCTTAAAATAGTTGTACCCGGTGATCTATAAATTGAACCAACAGAAGGAGGCAACAATAGCAGATGTCAGGGACAACCAAGGATGGAACCTCTCTTTCAGGAGAATGTTGAATGACTGGGAGATTGATAGCCTAACAGATTTCTACAATACTCTGGAGCAGGCCATCAACTTTCAACCTAATGAAGATAATCTACACTGGTTGAGGGCCAATAATGGGAAATTCACAGTAAATCCACCTTGATAGGCTAGCTGCAATGCTCTTACCATGGCCTTGGAAGATGATATGGAAAGTTAAAGTACCTCACAAGGTGGCTTGTTTCACCTGGTTAGTAGCCAGACAAGCAGTACTAACTCAGGACAATCTAATGAAAAGGGGAAGACAATTATGTTCCAGATGTTTTTTTTGTGAAAGAGAAATAGAGACAACAAAGCATCTCTTCATCCATTGTAGAGTGACAGAGAAACTGTGGCAGGTGTTTTTTAACTTAAGGGGTATCAATTGGTCCATGCCAAGGCATACCTCCGAAGCTCTAACATGCTGGAATAGAGAAGGAAATATGTCCGGCCACAAAGAGAGATGGAAGATTGTCCCTGTTTGCATCTGGTGGACAATATGGAGGGAAAGGAACCAAAGATGTTTTGAAAACAAGAGTATCCCTATCCAAAGTCTAAAGTTGAATTGTTTATAACCTTTTTTTTGTGGTGTAACTATGTACTCCCCAAAAAGGTGGAGGATATTACTCAGTTTCTAGATAGTTTAGGAGGGATATAGGTGGTAGATTTCTTTGGTTTTGCTTACTGTAAACTCCAGATGTAGCTACTACTAGAATACACTATTGGTGTATTTTGTCTATAAAATGTTAAATTTCTCAAAAAATTATCTTCAAAAATATTTTTTAATTAATTGTTTCATTTTGAACATGTAGCAGTTATTAGTTAAGTAAACAAGTAAACAGGAGCACAAGCATGATTGTGCTATTATTTCTGGTTTGAGGCTTGAATGTTATACCATTTTAACAAATTGAATCTTAAACATGGAGTGCTTGCTTTTTCTAAGTTGTTCTAGGCCCCTCCTAATGGAGATCTGAAGTTGTTCTTCTAGATCAGTCTAACTTAGCACTAAATCAGCTTTGCATTTGCCAGTGTTGTGGCATTTTATTGCATACATTTGCTTAGCATCAAGTCAATCGTGTTGTCTTGGGGGAGGGAAGGCTTTTGTGCAAATTGTTTCGATTGATATTTAGATATTGTATTATGTTGGACCTGCATGCAGTTTTCACTGCTGGTGAATGAATCAAGCGATAGCTCAATCTTTACAATTTGTGTAAGTATGTGATTTTATATGACATTGTTTTTCTGTTTGTATTAGATTGTGTAAGAGCTGAACCTGTGATATACAAGAAACTGGAAGCATCATCTGATGATATAGCACTTCTGAGGGCTTATGTCGGGGACAGACCTACTTGGAGGACTCCACAGCACCCATGGCGAGTAGATGGGAGGTTCAACCTCAAAGGGGTTCCAACCTTAATCCGATGGGAAAATGATGCAATCAAAGGTCGACTTGAAGACCATGAAGCACACCTTGATCACAAAATTGGTTCCCTTCTGAATGGGAGTTAAGTGTCCCATTACTTCAAGGGGATGCTTTATATTAAGAGAGTGTCTTAATAAAATATGTCGAGCCTCATTGGCCTGAATGAACCTCATTTTAAAAGGCCGTGAATATGATGCCTCAGTGCTAGTGGTAGCGGAAAAAACTAGTGATTCTTGTTACACACATGTGTTGCTTCCATTTCTCCTGCCATGCTTAGTGTACTAAATTATACATCAATAGCATGTTTGATGTGTTGCTAAAATGGAAATTATTGCATTGTGTTTGACATGTCTAAACTGATGGCGTGTTTCACTGTTAAATTTTGCAAAGGTTGTGCTGAACTCCCAGCTTTCACCAAGCTTATAGTATAGTCAGCCACATAATAATTGAGAGTGATCAGTCTTCCGCTGTGGGTTCAATATCATTTCTCTTTTCACTTCCCTAGTCCTCCTATTTAACTTTGAAAAGAAGGATTTGTAACGAGCTGTTAGGTCGTTTTGAGTATTGGAACATATTTTTTCATAAAAGACTCTTCCCGTAACTTGAACTCATTGGCACTGCACGGGGAATGGCGAATGACATCTCCACCCGTCCTGCTGATAATCACTACATCACCACCCATCTTTTCCATCTCCAGCACCCTTATTCCACCCCAAAACAGAGGGAGACATTGTTGCTCTGTCTTAACATTGAGGTCCATTTATATTTTTGATGATTGTTGTTTTGTTGGTGTTGTTGGTCTTGTTCTTTTTTGCAATTGAAGTTCAGTATTCAGTGTCAAGATTCTTACAAGTCTTGTTGGATCATGATCATTAAAATTCTCCTATCTGATTGGTAGTATTCCAAGGGAAACTGACAACATAAAGGTATTAGAATCACTTGATCTCTTCAATATTTTGTTGAAAACATGTTGAGTTTTTCCTCTTTGAGCCGTATCCATCTCACAAGTCGCAACGACTTATCATGGCGGATTCCTGTCAACATAATGGACCTATCCTATTAAAGAATATCAAGGCTCTTGGTTGAGTAACTTTTAATTTATTGTGAGTTGATCAAATGATGGATTCAATAAGTTCTTGTCAATAACCATGTCCGTTGACTAGAAACATTAAACTATGTTTCCATAATAATATAATTTCATTGTGCTTTTTCGGGGGAGGTTTAAGATCTCCCTTACTTTTTGTAAGGCCATGGAGATTAGTTATACAAAGAGAAAATGGAACACGTAGTTTGTAAAAATGTGACATTGAGGATAACTCTAATTTATTTGCATACATCTCCTACAATGTATTGATTTTTTATAGGATAAAAGAGAAAAAAATTCTTCATAAAATTGATTCTTTCCATCTTGTTTGGAAGCTATAGTTTTATTTAAATTTAATATTAAAAAAATCTTAAATATTTCCAAAAAAATGCTACAAGGAGAGAATCCTCAAGTCTCTCACTCCGGCAAAAGTTTAAAAAAGAAAAAGTTAAACACTATTAATACTTTTGGACTAAGACATTTTTTTATAATAAAAATAATAACATAGTTATAGTCGTAACACATAAAATATAACAACTATCCAAGTTCAGTTCTCTTTTAATGACTTCCTCTTCTTCTTTTTTCTTTAATCTTTTATAATAATAGTGTCTATTTAGTGTTATATGTCACAAACTTAGAGTCTTACTAATTCGGGTGCAAAATTTGATTGGCAAAGTGACGGGACATGACATATAACTATATATAAATTGGGTGATGGTACATTTAGTCATGTTCTAATAAAGGAAAATAATCTGGCTGATTAATTATTTTATTAACTTAAGCTTTTGATTTTGTAGGTGACTTTCGTTTTAACACATTTCAGGAGCCAGGAGGTACTAATTTCTGATAGGAAGATCACAAACTCAGACAAAACTCAAATTATATTTAAGGACAAGGTTTATTCAGATGAGCAATTACAAGCAAATAACAATTGCCAATAAAACTGCTACCGTGCTTGAAAATAGTACACCAATTAATTGTTGTGTTTAGATCAAACACTATAGTCTAGATACACAAATTTACATCTACATCTTCACTATCATGCGCTATCAACATCCATGATGCCCAATTTGTTAGTTAGAGGTACAAATGTGTAGACAGACTCTTCACTCTAGTAGTGATAATAAGACACAAGTAATTAATCAGTTGACGAATAGAGATGAAAAAAAGACTAGAATGGAGGATGTGATGCTAGTTTACAATTAATGCTTGAATGATTTTATAATACCTCGGAAATTGCTAAGTCAGATTGGAAAGGAAAAGTTTCATTTTTGGCACTGATGCAGTGATCTACAAGTTCAACCTATGGATAGTAGGTGTTGGGGAAATAATTGAAATTTCACAATAATAATATAATTTATTATTTAACAAAAAGTAATCTTGAAAATAGATAAATATTTATTACGATGATAAATAATAATAGTGCATAAAATTAATACTTGAGTCCTGCTGGGCACTGTCCTAAGAAACTATTTCAACGGTGTGAAATGTTTCCCTAGAATTAAACAAGCCTTCCCTATCTTGAATAGAGGATACATGAATCAACAAATTAATTAATATCAGCAAGTTATTAGGGGATATAAATAACAAAGCCAAAATAATTAATTAAAGTAACCATAAGAAGAGAAATGATGAAAACATGAGATTCATAAAATTAGGCAGAATGTTTGTTCATTTCTCTGTGTACCTAAAAGAACAAAAGAGTAGAATTTATAGTGTTAGCAAAGAAATGATATGCCACTTGTCTAAAGTCTTATATGCAAGAAGACATTTGGATGTAAGATGGACAAAAATCTTGCCTTAATAAAAGTAATTGTCATTTCTCCAAGTAACTAAAATAATCTTTTGAAAATAAAATATTTGCTTACAATCCCCCACTTATTTCAAAAGATTTTATAAAAATATACCTTGTTGGATTTTCAGGACAAAATGCAATAGGTTTGGTGTCTTTCAGACTATGAACCAAACTTAGATCGATAAAATTTAATTTACAGAATTACTGGTGAAATATAATATTTCTATGAACTAATAATTCTTATTGTAAATCAGAAACTTTACCAATCACATTTTGACGACAATAATTTTGTTGTTCAACGCGGTTTTGCGCCAATAGGCCATACGCGTGCCTGGTATTCATGAGAGCTCTAGAGACTAGGCCAAAGTCTCATAGGAGCGACCACACTCCACTTCTCATATATGTGAATTCATCAAGTGTATACTGCTTTAAATACACCATCCTTAATTGATGACTATGAATTCATTAAGAGTTAATAACTCATCCCTCATTTTTAGTAGCAGTTCAAACACTCTCAGTTAGTGCGCAGAGCCAATATCAACTTGTTATTACCCATATGAACCTACTTCATGGGATCTCCAATCACATAGATTGGGTTACCCTATTGACAATCAATTGGCCTTAGACCCATTTCTGTTGAGGTCTGAAGAATTAATTTTCTTCCCACGGGTTTAGTCAGTGAATCGACTGAAATTCAATTCTGACTTCACATCATCAATGGAAATTACTCCATCTCTGAACAGTTGTTTCATGACATCATGCCTCAATTTCATGTGTTTGCTCTTATAATTATAAGATTTATTCTTCGCAATAGCAATTGCGGCTAGGGATCAACAATTCATCCTTAATCAAAGGAGTCAACTGGCTTTTAATCCTTTATTAAAGGGATCAACAATTCACTAAGAATTTTCTTAGCCATTTAGCCTTAGAACTAGCCAGCAACAGAGCTACAAACTCTGATTCCATAGTTGATCTAGCAATGATCGTCTATTTAGTTGATTTCCAGGATACTGCACCACCACCTAATGTGAACACATATCCACTAGTGGATTTTGTCTCATCTGAATCAGAGATCCAGGTTGCATCACAATACCCTTCAAAAGTAGAAGGAAATCCACTATACATGACACCATAATTCATGGTTTCTCTCAAATATTTCATCAGTCTATTCAATGCAAACAAATGCTCATTATTGGGATTATGAGTATATCTACTCAATCTACACACAACATAGGCAATATCAGGCCTAGTAATATTCATCAAATGCAATAGACTTCCAATAATTTGAGCATATTTAGACTGAGCAACTGGGTCACCATAATTCTTTTTCAATTTAGAGTTAGCATCATAAGGAGTGGCTAAACATGTCACATCATAACATTCAAAATAATTTAAGAAGTTTTTCCACATAATGTTCTTGTGACAACATTATACCATCTTCACTTCTTATAACTTTTAACTCCCAAAATCATATTCACTTCACCCAGATCTTTCATATCAAAATTAGTAGACAAAAATAATTTGGTATTTTTCACAATATTCAAACTTGTACCAAATATAAGCATGTCATTAACATATAAGCATATTATCACATAATCACTGTCTACAATTTTGGTATAAACACATTTATGCACTTCAACAAAAGAAAAATTGTCTTTCAATAAGACTTGATCTAATTTTTCATACCACTGTTTAAAATAATAAATCTATCTGCAACACTATGTCAAACATATTTAATCAGTAGTTCAAAACCTATTTTTCTCTTCTTAGGTTCATACAAAAGAATTTTGGCAAGGCACCCCCACACTTTTAAATATTTCATATGTATCAAAATTATTTGAGTCTAAATCAGATATTAAATCAAGAGACTGCATATTCTTTATATATGAGACATTTAATATGTCCTACTTTAGCATGCAATAAATAAATAAATAGGCTCAATTATATAAGCAAAATCAGATACATCTTTAATGTAATCATCACAAATAATAAGCACAAATAAGTCATAGCTGCAAAAATTTTTGCCAACAAAAAATATTATTTTTTAGTCAATATGACCTTATTATTTTCAAAAGAAACCTTCATTCCATATTTTTCTATTAATCCCACAAAAATCAAATTAATTTGGATATCAGGAACATACAATACATCACTCAATGTCAAAGTTTTACCGGATGTGAGTTTGAGAAGAACTTTTTCTTTTCCAAGAACTTTAGTTGTCCCCGAGTCACCAAAATAAATAATTTCTTCTCCTTTTTCAACTTGGGTGCATGACACAAAATCATTTTTATTTATACAAATGTGCCTCATAGCACCAGAGTCTATCACCCCGTTTCTCACATTGGCTACAACATTTATTTCTAAAATGACCGCAATAATCATATCAACCGTTTCAGCCAAATTTATTTTTAGCTTAGCAGGATTGTAATTTCTTTTCAATATTCTTTTGCATTGAGGTGTATTTTTC